GCTAGATTATGGTTCCGGGTCATGGGCTACACTGTGAAATTCTGTCTCAGTAAACAAAAGAAAACTAATTTGAGACACATGAAGTATTTTCTCATCTTTTACTTTCAGTGCATTTAATATGACTCCTGACTCTGGAATGGAGTTGTAACTGCAGCTGTAATCAGTTGAGCTTCCTGTAGTCACAGGTCATTTTTTAATGAGTTTTCAGCCATTGTTCTTCATAGCTTCCCTTTCCCTTACTCTCCCCTAAGAGTGCTTACTGTACATATTTGCTGTAAGAACATTCTCTACACTTGACACTGTATTCATTTTTTCTAATTCTTTTTCTTCAACATCCACAATCTGTATTTGACTATTTATTAATTAGCCAATTATTTAATTATCTAGTTCTAATTTGTAGATACCATCTAGTGGACAGTTTATATCCATTGTTTACTTTCTTACTCAGAATTTTCATTTAACGCTTACCCATAATTTTCGAGTCTTTATTCCCTGTGTGATTTGAAATGACAGGTGTGTATTATTTAGGAGAGGGGATGTCAAAGAGGCAATGACCTTAGAGGAGTGTTTAGTTACCCCTTGTAGTTCCTCATCTCTAAGAGTTGGGTACCCAGGACATATTTTCTTTGGATATTCATTGTGCTTGCTAGAAGTCTGGGGTTGGAATGACCATAGAGTTTACGAATGATACCCATTTCTTACCTGCAGTTCCTTGATTCAGATAGAGAGGTAGAGGATTTTATCTCATAGAGAAAAGAAAGAATCAGGATGAGATTGTAAGTGAGGGTTTCTTGAACCTCAAATCTCCATATCCCTGGACAAACAGGAGGGAAAGGAGGAAACATCTATGTCCAATCCAGTAGTGTCCAGCACAGCTGAGGAAGTGCAGCCTCTCTTCTGGAACCAGAGACAAGTTGGTTGATGTCAGTGTCCTTGAGGTCCAGGACTGAGAAATGGGGGGGTCTCTGAGGGGGTAATTGGAAGGAGTGTGTAAGGGTTAGCTATGACAGGGTAGAGGGAACCACTGCAGAATTGACGAGGTGAAGATCTTCAACCGGGCAGAGGTTTTATTGAGCTTCTTAACTGCAAGTACAGGGGTGTTAAAGGGAGAAGATGTGGTTGAAGTGACTTTTTTCTTAGGAGGTCAGAGATCTTAGGAGGTCTCTTGAGTCCCCTGGACTCTAGAGAGAGAGGGAGTACTGACTTGTGGTAATAACCCGGTAGGGTCCTGTAACTGGATGACAATAGGGGAATACTGTTTGCAACAGACTTGGAAGTCCACCTGGGAGGCTGGTGAAGGAAATGACATGTTGGAACCTGTATGTCGGGTGGCTAGGAGGAGGAGGAGATGGGCTGGTGATGAGCTTGGGGTCAGGTGAATGGGGGAGGAGGAAATAGAGGCTCCCACTTTGGCTAGAAGATCACTTCTCAATAAGGAGACAGGATAGGTTGGCACCACCAGAAAAGAAGGGATGAGAGGAATGCCCCTGAAGATGCATCGAGTGCTGGGGTCTGGCGAGGTTGGTCCCCCTACCCTGACAATGGGGAAATGAGGAGAAGTGGGTCCCCAAAACTCCATCAGGACCAAGTAGGTGGCCCCAGTGTCCAGAAGGGAAGATGTGGATCACTGACACTGTGATGAAGCTCCCTCTTAGAGATGACAGTGGTCAGGCCAAGGAAGTCAGCGGAAGGGCAATCAGGGAGTGATGTTCCTGCGCCAAGAGGGACACAAGGGCAATCAACAGCCAAGTGTCCCTCTTGATGGCACTTTGGAAATGGCCAGGGTGGCCCACAGGGGGTTAGGCAGGCCCGGACCCAATGACCCTCCCAACCACATTTGACTCAGGGACCAGGTCCTCAAGCCTTAGGAGGCAAGGAAGACCTAATGTTGGGGAAACTCTAGGAAAAGAAATAGACCATGAGGAGTTGCTTGCCCTCTGGGCTTTTCAGGTCTAGATTGGTATACTGTAAGAGGACCCTTGTGAGACATTCTAAGAATGAGACAGGTTTTCATGTTAGTCCTGGATGAGCTCTTGGAGTTTCTCATAGGTTACTGGCTTAAGGGCAGTCTTATGGAGAGACCAGCTAGGAGATAAGTTGTAAACTGACCTCTGGCTACAATGTCCCCCTGGGGTACTGTAGTTCCCCTCGGGATCCTGGTAGGGGATCCCTCAGCCCTACCGCACTAATTTGGTGGACTCCTTCTGTACGTGCTCCAGTCTGTTCTCAAACTTGCCTGTACTCATTGTGGAATAGATTGTTAGTTAGAATCACACATATGTCACGGAAGGTAAGACTATAGGACTGGGAAATATGCTGAAATTCTGTAATGAAAATAGAGGAACTAGGTTATAGAACCCCGGGGTTTTTGTTAGTTTTTGTTCTTGTTTTTTTGTTTTTTGTTTTCTAGTTGAGAAAGTTTACCTAATGAAAAGGAGACATGCCTTTGATAAGGCCGTTCACCCTGGCAACCTCCTGCAAAGGGAGAACGTGGGCTGAGTTAGGCCGGGTGGGGAGAGATGGAGCAGGAGCAAGTAGTGTCAGGGACTGAAGGCTGCTGTTGGGGTGATAGTAGGCACCAGAGTGGGACGTTAGACCGGCCGCTCGCTGGAGAGGAAGAAGAGGAGGCTGAAGAAGCCAGAGGAGGAGAGGGAGCCATGAGTTGGGAATGGTCTCATTAACAGGGTCAAGAGTTGTGGAAGTGTCTTCTGGTTGAGATTTCATAGCTAGAAGGAGCTGAGTCAGGGAACAGGAAGAATAGAGGAAAGGCTTGGATCAAAGAGAAAAGAAAGCTTGGCCATAGGGGACCTCCTTCCATTTACCCAGATCAAAGAGAAAAGAAAGCTTGGCCATAGGGAACCTCCTTCCATTTACCCAATTGCTGGCAGTAGTTATAAAGGTCTCATATAACTTAGGGATCTAAGGTACCGTTCGGATTGGTTATCTAAGGACCAAGTACGGCTGCAAAGTTTAGAAACCTTCAAGACGGGCACTAGGTGTAGAGGCCTGAGGTTCTCCAAAAGTTATCCCAATGGAGAGATTGGATGTACGGTAGAAGACACAGTACCCATGGGTGAGGAGAAGAGTCACAGGCCTGAGCTCAAAGGCATCCCAAGGACACAGGGAGGACAGAAATGAGAAGGCAAAAACCATTCAGCAATGTTGTCATGGTGCTGAACAGGGACCAGGGCTAAAAGACCAGACACAGCCCACCAAGTGCTAGTATTTATGAGGGAAGGACAGGGAAGGACAGGGAGAGGGAGAGGGAGAGAGAGAGAGAGAGAGAGAGAGAGAGAGAGAGAGAGAGAGAGAGACTCTGGTGGAAAAATGAAGCCTTACCCAAGGGAAAAGGTCAGCGATGGCTGTCAGCAAAGATGGTGACCATAGCCTTAAAGACCATGGCTGATGTTACTTCTGTTTCCAAGAATACCAGAGGAACTCTGGACACTCGACAGTCACTCCCTCTAATCTAGGGAAGTATTGATACCAACCGGAGGGCGGGGGGGGGGGTGACTTAACAACTGTGTTGAATGGAGTGTCTAATCGGTTAGCCAGGTAGTGAGCCTGTTGCAGGTGAACTGGAAATAGGGTCCTGGTGTGAGGCTTTGACCCACAAAGGGGAGCACAAGTACCAGGAGATCCAACTGAGTCCCTCAGCACCGGTGTTATCATCTAAGTAAGCAATGGATGCCATAAAGTCACAGCATGTGACAGATCTCACATGGGAGGTTTACTAGGCAGAGGGTACACAGAGGCTTCCTCTGGGTGAGGGTGGAGAGAAAGAGAGCAGGGAGAGGAGGGACTGGCCTTTTATAAGGGGATAAGGCACATGCACAGGGGAGGATATGGGGCTGGTAGTGACAGTGGGAATGTGTCCCAGCTTGTCATCCAGTAATGACGTATCCTGCTGTTGCTGGGTCCCTGGGGACTGGTGGTGGCGATGCCTAGTTGCTGATAGATATCATCTGAGGAATGGCCTGAGGCTGGTCTCTATTCTCTATATATACCCACCTTCACACACGTGAACAACCATACATGCATACAGGCACACACACAAGTAATACTGTTATCCAGTGAAATATGTACAGCCTGCCTTCACAGCTATGCTTAAATCATTATATGTTAATGTAGTACAATACAACAAATAAATAGAAGAAACTAAAAGGCAAGTTGCAAAACGGTATTTTATAATGATAAGAATAGCAGCAGACTGCCTGAAGGAAGCTGATACTTAATTCCCTTCAGGTATGAGATTTATTAGAATGTGAGGGTCTCTAGGCCATGACTGGGCCTGGAGATGGGAGGAAGAGCATTGGACATACAATACATGATATGGAGAGCTAAATGCAGTGGTTCCTTTAAAGGCATCACCTTTAAAACCAGAAAGGTGCTTCCTTAAGAGTGAGAACAAAAGCAGCAAGGAGAGAGTGCCCCTCTTGGGGTCTGCTTATACTTCTTTTCTATAGGTTTTATGTGACCTCAAGACCAGGGCAGACAGAATGATGGACATATTCTTCCCTGGGGAGGGAAATGGTATCCTGTCTCAAGAACATCTGAGTACCAATTCTTGCTGTATTTTGCAATAGCTACGCACTTTCTCTTCTTCCACCACTGTGTGTCATTGTTGTGGACGGCCCCTTCACCTTCGATTGGCAGTATTCGAGTACCTCTGCTAGGGTGTGCTTCTTGCGTACTATATTGGCTAATACTGCCAACTCGTCAGGATTTGGAATTGCACATGGGACAAGCCTCTGGGCATGTGTGTGAGAGTGTATCTTGAGTAGGTTAATTGAGGTGAGAAATCCACCCTGTGACTGTGGGTGGCAACATTCCCTCGGTGTGAGTCCTGGGCAGCATAATGAAGGAAGAAGACAGGCTTTGGAAGTTCGTCACTCTCTGCCTCTTGATGGCGGATGCAGTGTGGCCACCTGCCTCAAGTGCCTGCCACGTGGCTGCTCTGCCAGGATGCTCTAAACCCTTGAACTATGAATCAGAATAAATGCTTTCTCCCCCAGTTGCTTTTATTTTATCACAGGATATTTTATTACAGCAATAATAGTACTAAATAATACAAGTACCAGTATTACTTACTTTCTTTTTGTATGGAGGCTAGACTACAGTCAGAGTAACCCGAAATCCATCAGGCTAGACCCATAGGTACCATCCTGCCTCAGCCTCCCAGGTTCTTAGGTGTGCACCACTACGCCCAGCCTAATATTATTTTCTTATTCGTTACATCATTTGTGCCAGCTGACACCTCATTGATGACTTCCGAGTTCACGAATGTGAGACGTAAGACCAGCAGCCAGAATGTTGGCACAGTGTTGGGCACTCGGTGAAATATCTGGTCACTGATGGAACTGATGGTCAGAAGAGCTATGTTCTTCATCACGTGACCCGGGGTTAAAGGCTGGTCGACGGGAACTGGAGGGAAGAAGCCAGTGAACATGTATATGTCATGTTGCTCCTAGCTGCACAGTCTAGGAAGCTGCCCGCTTGCTTGGAGGCATCCTCACTCACAGGCTGGAGGAAAGTGCTTTCCTGTTGTGTTGCTCTTATCACTACCCAAGAGTCATTCTCCGCAGTTACAGTCTCCTTCCTGCTCACCAGTGCTTTGCATGTTCCCGGGACCTGAACTGTCTTGTCTCCAAACTCCATCTCCCAGGGATGGCAGCTGGAGTCAAAGCCAGGAGTTCCCAGGGTGGTGATAGAACCTCTGGCGACTGTCAGGCAGCAGGTACACCTTGTTTCCAGATCTCACACTCTTCATATCATCAGAGAAGATGAGGCTGGGGCGAGCAGCTGCTAAGTGCGAATCATCGTAACTGCAGGAAGAGGAAGACCTAGCTGGGAGCGGGGCTCTGTGGGCTTCTCCCAAGGTGCTCCCAATCTAAGGAAGAGGGATTTATTGAGATTGTGGTAGGGGATAGGAACAAACAGGGACCCGATATGCCAAGGCCACTACTTGCCTCAATTTAGGCATTTACCAGCATGTTCTTAAGCGCCAGTCAGTTCTGGACTACAGAGGGGGGAAAAGAAAGATGGAATAAAGTTTTAAGTATGCCCATTGAGGGGGTCTGAATTACACTCTCCCCACAAGGAAAGATAAGAATTCTCTTGCTTAGAGCTCTGTCTTTAATGGTAGTTATCATCCAAGGCCTCCCAGGCACCCTAAATACTGAAGCCATTAGTTCAATCAACAAGGCAGACACAGAAGGACCAAGCAGAGCTCTGGGGCCTTTTATGACCTGTTTTTGTGCTTCCATTCTAGGTGTATTCCCTCCTCTTCTGAATAGTTCTCCCAGAGCAACAGATAAAGGTTAATTACAAAAACCCTTGATTAGCTTGTTACCACCGTACTTACGAATGAAGGTTTCCATTTCAGGATAGATTTAAATTTTCTTTTGTTGTTCTGAGAATGGATCTCATGTAGCTCAGGTGTGTCTTGAGATGGCTGAGGATGAAGGTAATCTTGAGGTTCTGACCCTCCAGCTTCCAGTTCTGGGTAAAGTACTATATCGCAGTCCTGTGCGTGTGCACCATCACACTTTAGGTGAACGGTGGGGATCAAGCCCTGGGCCTGTGTTGTGCTAGGCTGGCGTCCTTCCCAGTTTGCTACATCTGAAGCACTGAATGCCATTTCAGAGCTCAGCGTTTCTAAAATGGGGGAAGGAGCAGAGAAGAAACCGAGTTAGCTGGATGAGTCAGATCAGAAGGAAGCTGGAGGCAGGGTCATAAAGGCTTTTCTAGGTGGGGAAGGGAATGGACAGGCTCTGAGCTGCCTGAACCCCAGGGAAGAAATGAGCACGTGTATTCCATCTCCGTCCAAGTTCACTGACCTGAGAGATGCTGCATGTTCTTCTCCACAGACTTTGACTTCTGGTAGAGCAAGTGGAGCTTTTCTTTAACACCCGGAGGAGTGCCCAGCAGCTCAGAGGTAGTCATCATCTTAGCCCTAGAGACAAGAGATTGTCAGCCAGAGGAGACAAGAGCAAGATATCGTCTGAGGCCCGTGAAGGTGACAGACCATCCCAGTTCAGGTGAGTCTTTCCCAGACTCAAAGCTCTAACACTGGTCCTGAACTTTGCTGCATAAAATCACAGTGCGCTTAAGTGGCAGCCTTAAAACTGAATTAGTCTTGCTATCAGAGTTCTCTGTCAAATTAATTATACTATGTCTATTGAAAGAAAAAAAGAACAACGAAATGCTACTTCACTCCTATTAGAATGACCATTCTAACAGCAATAAAAAAATGATAAGAGGAAATTATAAGTTGGTGACAAAGAGGTAGCGAAATTATCACTGTGGGAGGGGTTGTAAAATGATGCATATACCATAGGAAATAGTATGCAGGTTCCTCAAAATCTCTAAATAGGGTGGAAATACAGTAGATGTAAAATCTGAGAAATAGAAAGCAGAGTCTCACGCAGCCCTTGTACTGTGCTCAAAACAACACATTCTCAATAGCCCAAAGGTAGAAGCAGTCCAAGTGTCCATCAACAAATGAACAAATATGTGATGCCCGCATACAAAGGGTGTCACTTGGCAATTAAACAGAGTGGGATTCTGATACAGCTACAGCATAAGCGAGCTGTGAAAATGTGCGGAGAGAAACTAAGCCGGAGGCTAGAGGACAAGCATTGCGTGATTCTGATAATACGGGGCATTTAGAACAGTCAAACTAATAAACAGGAAAAACAGACTGGTGGTTGCCAGGCAACAGGAGAGGGAGGATGAGGAAGCAGTGTTTAATGTACAGAGTTCCTATGTGGGAAGATAAAAAGGTTCTGGAGTTAGATGGTGCGAACAGGTTCACACAATGTAGATGTATTAACATTAGTGCACTGCAGGCATGAGATAACTGAGATTTTATGATATCCATATCCTAATGGAAAAATAACTACTAAAGACCCACTAACCCCCAGCTCCCAACCTCAAGACTGAGATTTAGTTGGTGTGGCTGTGGCTTGGAAACCAGGATTTTGTAAAGTTCCCAAGTAACTTTCCTAGCTCACCTCTCTCTTTCCCCACCTTCAAACCGATCCCTAAGCACACCCACCTCCACACCCCCACCCACCCTGTCCCAACGTGCTTGAGATCAGAGGAAGTTCTGGGAACCCCGTCATAAAACAAATGACATCCATCCAAGAGGTTTCTTGGGAAAGTACCACTTGGATTTGGATTTGGCAGGCCTGGGATAAATTCCTTCTCAGTAGTCCATTCCTTTCCTCCCCACCCCAACCTGATCACACTCCCGTGTTATTCTTCCCACTCAAGTCCAGGAATGATGGTCTCCAGAAGCTTCAGGAAACAGGAGTCCTGGGTTACAGACCCAGCTCCTTCCTAGACTGCCTCATCCAAATGCTTTCTGCAAGGCACCCAAGGGAATACCATGGGATCTCTCCGTACCTGTGCAAGGTGACTCCAATGTCCTAGGAAAGAAAAGAGGGAAGCTATCTATTAACAGTCTCCAAGACTTGTTAAGACCCAGCAACAAGCTGCTCTCTGACTCCCAGTCCTAGGGTGCCAGTAGGGTCGTTTCTCCTTCACGGTAGTTCTAGTCACAGGATGGAAGGCTTGTCTGAGCCCACAGTGAAACCACCCTCAAGTTCTTCTGGTCTTTTCTTGGGTGATTCCAGGGGCATCTTACATGCTAAGATGTCCTGGAATCCTGAGAGACATCAAAGAGGCATGAGCCCAAGAGACACTGTGGATCATTGAGACCAAGTCCCATTCCAGGCCTTAATGGCCTTGCTTCCTGGCTTGGGGGTTGGGTCAGGGGTGCCAAGAGCCCGAGTCATGCCATTGCTCACAGCAGGCGAGCAAAGGCCAGGCACACTCACACTGACCTGCATGAGCTCCCACTCTGGCTGGTCTTGCTTGGCCTCTAGTTCTCCAATCAGCTCATCCAGTAGGGAAACCCGGGTGTAGTATGTCTCTCTGACCTTGCTGATGGTCTGGCTTAGCTCCTGTAGCCAGGTCACAAAGAGTTGCTCTTGCTGCTCCAGGAACTGGTATAGCTTCTCGAGCTGACATGAAACCCTCTGCTCCTGAGTTTCTGTTTGTTTCTGGGGAACATAGAATTGGGAGATGTATGGGTGTGTGCTGTAGGCTGGAAGTATTATATCTCTGGGGATGCCCTCCAAGCTCATCTGATAGAGATGGATGAGAGGCGGGCTTCCTCAGTGTGAAGTTTGAATGAGAATGGCTGCTATAAGGCTCATATATTTGAATATTTGGTCCATAGTTGGTGGAACTGTTTGGGAAGGATTAGGAGGTGTGGTCTTGGGAAAAGGTGTGCCATTGAGGTTGAACTTTGAGGTTTCAGAAGCCCGTGCCATTTCCAGTTTTCTTTCTCTGTCTCTTCCTGTCTCTGTCTCCTCTGTCTCTCCATCTGCCTCTGTCTCTCTCTGTTTCTGTCTCTGTCTCTTCTCTCCCTGACCCCCTCTCTCTTGTCCTAATGCACATAGACTAGATGTAAGCTCTCAGCTACTGCTTCAGCACCATGCCTGCCTGCCTGATGCTATGCTCCCAGCCATGAAACTCATGGACTGTAACCCTCTAGAACCATGAGCCCCCAGTTAAATGCTTTCTGTCATACGTTGCCTTGGTCGTGGTGTCTCTTCGCAGCAATTTAACTGTCTTAAGATTTAACTATTTTTATGTGAACAATATTTTTCCTGAATGCATGTGTGTATTTACATGGTGCCCTCAGAAGTCAGAAGAGGGCTTCAGATCCCCTGGAACTGGAATATGGGTGGCTGTGAGACACCAAGTAAGTGCTGTGAATTGAACTCAGGTCCTCTGCAAGAGCAACAAGTGCTCTCACCTGCTGAGCTATCAGCAACTTAACTGTAACTAAGACTCTTAGCCTCTTATAGACATGGGCTACAGAATGGGGAGAAATCTGTGGAACTTTCCAGAACAGGCAGCATAAGAGGAGCTAGCTCTTGGGAAAACCTATTGCGCATGGTACTAGGTTCAACAGTTTTCCCTCCAAAATTTCCATTTTGAAGTCCCAGTACCTCAGAGTATGACCCTATCTGGAGATAGGGTACTTGTGGATGTACTTGGATAACGTGAGGTCATTCTAGAGTCGGCTGACATCCAGGCCATCCAGGAGTATATAACAAGATCTACTCTCAAAAAGCCAAAGAAGGGGCTTGAGATTTAACTCAAGGATAAAACCCTTTCCTAACAAGTACAAAGCCCTGAGTTCTGTCCCTAGAGCTGAGGGAAAGGCCTCCAAGAGTCAGGATAGTTTTTATAAAATTTGTAAATAAAAAATAAATAATTATTCAATAATTAATTAAATAATACATAATTTTTTTAAAAAATAAAAGAATATATTATCATTCTAAGACAGGATCTTACTATGTAGCCCTGGCTTCACAGACCAGGTCACCTCAATCTTGTGGCCTTCTTCCTGCCTTTGTCTCTCGAGTGCTAGGATTACAAGTGTATGCTAATATTCCCAGATACTTTGGTGTGTGGAGGTCTAATGTAGCCCAGGCTGGTTTTGGACTTACTACGTAGCTAATACTGAACTTGAATTTATCCTCCTGCCTCTATCTTCCAAATGCCAAGGTGTATGCCGCCATATCTAGTTTTCGCTGTACTGGGGTGGAACTCAGGGCCGATCGATTCTAGGGAGCTACTCTACCAACTGAGCTGCATCTCCGGCTCCAGTTATAATTATAAAAACAATCCAGAGAATTTTTCAAGTGACAACTGCTATCTCTAGTGTCTCTAACCTGTCTCATTGTGAGAAGGAGAAAGTAAGCAAGTCCTTAGAGATCCCCTCCTCCCTGACAGCTTGCTACAAGGATGAGCTCACCTTAGGTCTTCCTACCCTTGCCACCGAGACGCAACAACAGGTGACCATACCTGCTGCCCTGTGAATGGGAACAGACCCTCAGGAACATGGCTTCACTCTCAGTCCCCTCCTGTTTTCTGCGGGTTTAAATGGGCAAGGGCTGGCCCAGGGCCTCACCAGGAAGTCATCTGTTTTCCTGTCTCCCTGTAGCCTGTGCTCCTCCACATATCCTCTCATCTCCCGCAGGCGCTCCAGCTGCTTCCGGATCTGCTCCTGGAAAAGAGTACAAGTTAAGATGCTCCCACTTGACTCTTGCCGTTTTTTAGACTGTACTAACCCTAGAGGAAAAAGACTCAGCTACTGGGAGCACAGCCAGCAGAGGTGGCTGCCATTGAAAGCAAGGGATAGTGGGCAGGTTCTAGGAAAGAAGCAACGTGAATTCATCACCAAGGGAAGCAGAGCCATGCAGAGCACCAACGATCCCCGAGGGAAGACCCAGACTTCATACTGACAACCAATGCCTTTGGACTGCTGAACAATATAAATTATCAGTTCCTTCTTTGCCGTCCTGGTTTGTCTTATGTTTTTACCATTTAGGGCCCAGGAATCCTGACTAATGCATCACCATCCCAGAGGGGTTGGATAAAGAACACAAGGCCCAAGTGTCCAATTCGCGGGAGAGACAGGCCAGGCAACGAACACCTTACCTTGTACTCTAGTGCAGCCTCCTCTATGGGGCGCACTCGATGTCCTTGATGCTCCTGGCTCAGCCTGCAGATGAGGCAGATGGGCTCCCTGTGGTCCTCACAGAAAAGCAGCTGTACCTGCTTCATGTGACGAGGGCACTGTGGTAGGGACTGGGGGCTCTGGGCTTCACGGCTCTTTCTGGCGAGTAAACTTTGGCACTGGAAGCATACGGAGCATCTGCCTGAAGCCTTGGGATCCCCAGGAGCAATGGAGAAGCTACAGGAACTTTGCACACAGGTATTACCATGCAGGTCTCCTTCCTGGCCGTGGCAAAGAGGGCATGCAGCCTTGTCCTGTGACCTTCCTGGAGACACAGCAGTGGAACAATCTCCTCAGTGGCAAACCCAAGATTTTTACAGGAGAGCAATCGTTCATAGGGTACACATATTCTCAGATCTGGCTACTTCCCAGCATGCTCTTCTCCTCTGACTTCCATACAAATGAGGTTGTCACCAGGTTACTGAGGCTGAGGGCAAAGCTTTCTGCTTTTCTGGGACAGAAATTCTTGGGCATTTATTCTGTGAGATACTCATGGCCCTTTGGTACAAATCCTATGTTTTCCCCTTGCACAGACACAAATCGTTTGGGTCATATGAAAGAAAGCAAAACATGCTGACAGCATTTGCTTTCTTATATCAAACTATCACAGATTGCCCACAACTCAAGTCAGAGCTCCTGGTCACTGTATGCCACATTCATTGACAGATCCTTAATCCCAGCAAAAAAAAAAAAAGAAAAAAGAAAAAAGAAAAAAATCTGGCCAGAGAGTATGGCAAGCATTTGGAACCTGTGTGCTAGGTGAATCCTCTGCTCCCACTCAAGAATCATAAATAAAAGCAAAGAAAGGGACTTTATAAAGCTAATGAGTGAATCTCATACTGAGGACAGAACAGTTCTGCAAGTTCTGCTCCAAGGCTACAGGCAGTGTGTCTATTCATCAGAAATGACAGGAGACACAGAAGAAATAGAAACACACACTCCATTAGCTCTTCCTTCCTTCTCCCACCCTGCCCCAGGAATTTGCCTCAAGCAAAAGTCATGGTATCCCATAAGGAACCATTCTTGTGACAGAACCAATAGTTTGCCTAGATGGCTGCTCCTTCCAGCTCACTCCAAACCGAAACTCTCAACCTCCTGTTCTGTTACCAGAAGTCATTTGATCAAATTCTAGTCAAAGGGAAGTGAGCAAGGACAGATGGCTTCTAGAAACTTTTAAAAGCCTTCTCTACATCATGATGTCCCCTTTGGCCCTTCATACTCGTGAGTAGAACCAGTGAACATTAAAATTTTAAGAAGAAAAAAAACTCAAAGCAGAAAAACAGCTCAGCATAAATTTTAGTTGCGGTCACACAAATGTAAGTCATGTGTGTGAAAGAGGAACAAGTTTCTGTGTTCACCTAAGCTGGTGGTTTCTGACTCTCACAGACAAGCATAAATCCTGATGACTAATTTCCCAGTAAGAGAGCTTTGGTCAACATCTTTTCCCTGCCCAGAGAAAGGTGATTAGTGGAATCTCTGGCCCAAGACTTACCCTGTGGGGTCACTGTGGGAAAGCAACATTGTAACCCACTCCTTTCTAGAATCTTAACCTAGCCTGTGCCTCTCTGTACAAGAACTGAGGGCTCAAGCACTAACCAAAATTTGATGCAACCTGTTGTGCAAGATGTGTAAACGTGTATTTTTCTGGGCCTGTATTACATTTTCTGGAGCTTTGGGGGAGGGTACCTTTACAAGCGGCCTGTCCTAAGTATGCTGGGTCTTCTGGAGTTTGGGCTGGTTTTTCACATAGTGACAAAGGCATATCTGGATCACAGGAGTCACAGAGTATGCTGCCAGCCGTCTCTCTCAAGGACTCTATGGTTTCTGGACTCCCATTTCCATTTTCCGTCCATGATGTAGTGCATCTCTCCTCCCCAATCAATGATGTTTTGGAAGACATGTTTCTGAATGTTTCTTCATCCAGCATCATGGAATGCTCTGGAATCTCTGTGCTCTTTTCTAGAGCCCCCGTAGTCCTTCCATTCAGGGTAGCTGCTCTCATGCGAGTGACACTCCCACTTCTTGTTTCCTCTTGAGTCAGAAGAGCTTCTGAATTTGGGGGTTCTCCTTCTCTTGAATAAGTGGTAATTTCAAGACTCCTGGGTCGCTTCTTTCCTGAAGGCAAATACACTTCAGCTTTCTTGCTTTCTCTCCTCCCTGGGACATTGTTGTAGAGTCCTTGCAGCCTCCCTGCGGAGCTGACATTCCTGCGGAGCCGGGCACTTGTCATGTTCTCCTTGTCCCCTGGAGACTGGGTAACCAAGGTTCTCCTATAGAGAGGTACTGCGCTCCTGACCTTCTGTGAGTCCAGGATCTCAGAGCCCCTCTGATCCTTCCTTTTGGCCAGTGGTTTCTTCTGGGGTCCCTTCCCCACTTCAGCCTGGCTGAGTGGCAGGATGTCTGATTCATCATTCTGCTGTGCCCCGTCACCTTCAAGGACATCTGGTACCTTCACACTCTTGGCCTTATTCTCTGCAGAAGACTGGACAGAACCACCAATTCTATTTTCTTCATTTAAATGTTCTAGAAAGACAATCAGATACGGTCATGAAGCTGTGCTATATTCAAGACTGTGGGGGGAGGAAGGAGAGAGAAACTCCTTAGAAGTTACTAAAAGCAAAGACTGAGCATTCTAGACACCAGCAGTCCATTACACAGAACCAAAAAAACACAACATAAGTAACAGTTGGATTACTGTTATGCACGACTATAGCTGTGAAATTTGACTTATAAAACAGTCGAAAAGGGTGAAAGTAGACCTGCTCAGTAAGCAAAGGCACTGGCCAACAAGCTCAACGAATTCGAGTTTGACCTCCAGAACCCACAAAGGAAAGAGAGAATCAATTCCTTCAAGTTGTCCTCTGACCTTTATGCCAGGGCACACAAATGCTCACTTACATATACAGACAGACACAAATACATAATCAAAATCAAATTAAAATAGGGGCCTGGAGAGACAGAGAGATGGCTTGGCCGTTCAGAGCATTGGAGGCTCTTCTCGAGCTCCCAGATTGTGTTCCTAACATCCACACAGTAGCTCACAACCATCTGTAACTCCAAATCCAGAGAATCTGATTCCCTCTTCTGGCTTTTGTGGACATAAAGATTGCAGGTGGTGCACACACATACATGCAGAAAAAAACACCCACATACATAAAATTAATTAATTTAAAAAAGGAACTTATAGAAGTGAATCTTTTTTATCATTGCACAAACTGAAGAAAATTTCAGGTCCCAAAGGTACTTGAAAACCAGTTAGAACAGATGTGGTGGTGTACACTTTCTTTCTTTCTTTTTTTATATGGGTACACTGCAGCTGTCTTCAGACACACGAGAAAAGTGCATCAGATCCCATTACAGATGGTTGTGAGCCACCATGTGGTTGCTGAGAATTGAACCCAGGACCTCTGGAAGGGCAGTGAGTGCTCTTAACCACTGAGCCATCTCTCCAGCCCTGGTGTACACTTTATAACCTCAGGACTCTGGACACAGAGGCAGGGGGATCTCTGAGTTTGAAGCTAGTCTAGTCTATATAGTGAGGTCCTTTCTAAAAATCAAAAACAAAAAAAACAAAAAACAAAAATAAAAACAGCAGGGAAACTTGCCTGCAATTTCAGGATATTGAAGCTTAAAATGACAGATAAGGCTTAATTTCAAAGTCTACATAATGAAGATAACCTATGATTAACAACCTATGTTTTGATTTGAAGAAACCTTTCATTAAAAGTAAAGAATGTTTAAATATCCTTATCAAGTATGCTAAACAAGAACTCTAAACTGAAATTAGGTGGTCAGTGAGATTTTCAGCCATGTTACTGTGGTTGAATTTCCAGCCCTTTCTGCTAACCTGATGTTAGTCTGGGCATGCATATTAGTTGAAAAATAGAGTAAAGAATTCTCTAAGTTTCAACCCATTCATGCTCTACCTGTCCTGATTCTCATCCACAGTTGGAATATCCGTTTTGTTGTTAGTGGCTTTGGGAGTCTGGGAGCCTCACTAAGCAGACTACAAGGGCTAGAGAGAAGGACGAGGCATGCTGGATTCACACTGCTCGCGCTGCAGTGGACAGGGGCTTCCTAACCCTTAAGCTAGTGAGCTTGTGTCTGAACATTCCTCCCCCCCTCCACCAGTAGCCACCATCCACTCCCACTGGGAAGAGGCTTGGCTACTTACCTGGGCCTGTGGCCTTGAGAAGTTCCTCTGCTAGTTGGCGCTGGTTGGTGGCCCGCAGGATCTGCAGGGTCAGCCTTACAGCATACTCCTCCCCATAGTGTTTCAGCAGGAGGTCAGCCAGCTTTACTGGCCTGGCCATCTGCATATGGCCCCGGGGGATCCTAGAGTGGCCCTTCTCCAGGCTGGTGTTCTGCAGCTTGAACTTGAACTTCTCAAAGTCATAGGGTAGCAGCTCCTCCAGGGTGTTTAGTAGATGATCCCCAAGGGTCTTGGCCATAGTGCGGGCCAGGAGGGACTGCAGCCAGCTATATGGCCTCTGGCAGATGATAAAGACCTCTCTCCTGCAACTTGAGAACAAGCAAGAAACAACTTGTGAAATAACGGACAAGGCACAGGAAACACATAGGCTTTGGTGGGAACTGAGAGTAATGATGAGGGCGTGTCCAGGGTCTGGCCTGCTGCATTTGAGGATTCAGAGTCTTTTCCAATGAGGAGGTCTCCACCTTGCCAGCCTATGTCCTGATTAAACAAAAGGCAGGCTAGACTCTAAGAGAGGTTCTGGGATTGTGAGCCAGATCTTCTAGCTGTTCTTGTGCTCTTGCTTGCTCTCAGGACCCTGGGCTGTGGAAGAGAAGCAGAGAGAGGATCTTGCGTGGAGTTGGCCCCCTCTGGCCAACTGCTCTTTGGACTCTTCGGGTTTATAGACCTCCAGGGCCAATGACAAGTGAAAGAACAGACAGCAAATAATCCCTATAGGCTTTGCCTGGGCCTTCTTAAGAAAGCAGAAGCCAGAAAGGCACTGCAGTGCATGTCCAGTCTGTCTGGTCCATGTCTAGTCTATCCAGCAGCATAAACTCTTCAAACGGAGACCTGAGGACCACCATTGTCACCAGCATTCTCATGCATCTATTCTCACAGCTAACTTGGCCCTGCTCCCTGGGCATCAGGGTGCTCTTCCCTGTACCCTTTGACATATTCTCTAGGCACTCCCTAGGATGCTTGAGACACAAGGTTGGAGAGGTGCAAGCATCCTTTGGCACTCTCGTGTGAGCCAGGGTAAGTTTCAGAGTGGCTCTAAACCAATGGAGGATCCATAGGAGGAACTCTGCTCACTTTCCTGTCTCTGCCTTTATGCGATGCCTGGTTTTTAAACTCAATATTTTACCTTGAAATTTTTCATCCTGGCCTCGAGGCCAACCTGGTTCACAAAAATTGAGTTCCAGAACAACCAGGGCTGTTACATAGTGAAATCCTGTCTTGAGGGGGAAAAAGAGAAAGGCACACACATACACACACACACACACAGAGAGAGAGAGAGAGAGAGAGAGAGAGAGAGAGAGTCAGAGACAGAGACAGCAGAGACACAGAAACACAGAGAGACACACAGACAGAAAGAGACAGAGAGAGGCACAGAAAGAGAAAAAGACAGAGGGGGGTAGGCAAAATGTGAGCCTAGGAGCAAGCCAATAAGTGTTCCTCCACCATTTCTACCTCAAGCTCTTGCTTTATTTCCCACTTTGGCTTCCTTTGACCATGCGTTGTAACCTGGAAGATGAAACGAACCCTTTCCTTCTCCAATTGCTTTTGGTATGTATCACACCAACAGAAACCAAACTAGAGCAATACCCTAAATACTTATATTACTTTATTGTGTATGTGTTGGTGGTGTGTGTGTGCACACATGTTTGGATGGATGTGTGTGAATGTGTGCTTTATAGAAGCCAGAGATTGACACTGTGTGTCTTCCTTTACTGATTTCCATCTGATTGATGATTGATTGATGATTGATTGATTGATTGGTTGGTTTATATTTGAGACAGGGTTTCTCACCTGAACCTGCATCTCACCAATTCAACTAGATCAAGCGGTCTAGAGCCCCCGGGACTCTCCATCTCTCTGGAACTGGGATTATACACGTGCCCCAGCACACTCCACTCTTTACATCAGTGCTGGAGATCTGAACTCCGGTCTTTATGATTGTATAATAAGCACAAAATCCACAGAGCTGGTCCCCCAAGGGTACAACAATAAGTAACCACAATGCAAGCTTTATACTCAAGAAAGCAATGCCACAATAGAACAGCTAGCTATGAAGCGTCTCCGTCTGTCCCAGCAGTGTCTTGGCTTCCTTGGCTTTTCTTTCTTTTGAGATATTGATTTTTTTTCATTTTAATTTGATGTTGGTGTTTTATTCACATAAACATTTTTAAACTAATTAGTTAATTTGCATTGATGTATATACACTGTCTATAGTTCTGGATTATAGGGTCATTTCATACAACTACATAATAGACAGAATAGACTCCTCTCGTACCTCCTGCCCCCTCCCTGCCTCAGTCCCTTTTGTTCTCCCAGACAAAGTTTTTTCTACTTTAATGTCACATATACATACATGATATTAAGTATCTATCCAAAACCTAGAAACCATAAATGAAAAAAAAATACACTACCTTTCTAAGTTTGACTTAATTCATTTAATATGCTCACCCTCACGTGTATCCATTTTCTAACAATGGTATATAATTTTATTCTTCTTTGTTATTGAGAAACTTTCAAGTATATATTATATTATCTACATCCATCCCCTATCTTTTAAAGTATCATTTTCTAAATACAATGTCAATCTAATCTTTTACATTCAGGTAAATATTGAATGCTTTATAATCTAAATGGTTCAACTTGATTTTCATCTCCCAAGGTACACGTGTGTTTTTTACAAATCTGTGCCTGTGAGATGACAGTGAGATTTGGAAATGTTTTATACGTAAAACAATATCTTGTTGGGTGAGTTTGTAGAGGAGATGTTTACGAGGAGGCACGTGGAGAGCAGTGTTCTCTATTCAACCCTTGCATGGAGGTTGAAGTCACAAAACTGGAGGGTGCCCTTGACTAGAGATAGATGCTTTTTCTGTTCTTGGGGAGTTCACATCCTAGTCATGGAAGACTGTCGTACCAGAGGGAAGAATTCAATAACCTTTGAATTATTTATTGTGAGAAAAGTCATACAACGACAGAGATAGTCACAGATGTTAGGTGGGAGATGTCCGAGGTGGCTTCTGGCTTGTTTGATTGAGGTCATGTATCTTCATTTAGAAGGCAATGGGGAGCCCCCTGTGTAGGACGATGGCCTTGAACTCCTGACCCTGCCTCCACCTTTCAAGTGTTCACATTAGTGCTTGGATGCCTCACCAGGCTTTTTGAGGTTTTTCGTTTGTAATGGGCTTTCCTGTAGCCCAGAGTCTCCCTGAACTTTCTAAGTACCTGAGAATACCCTTGATCTCTTCAGGCCTCCTAAATGCTGGGACTTACAGGGGAGCACTGACACCTCACGCTATTTGATTTTTCATGAAGGGATAGTTTCTTTGTTTTGAAACTGGTTCTCAAAAACTGGGGGGATGTGTGGAATAACCCAGAGTCTTGGAATGCTGGAAATTTACCCTTTGTAAGAAACTTTTCTGTAGGTTTACATTACTCAAATAAAATAGTTTCCCTTGCAAAATAAATTAAGCCAAACCAATCAGAACTTTTCCAAGCCCTTGTTGAAAAATAGTGAGTTTAGTCAGAACACCAAATAGGAAAAAAACAAGTCCATGCCCTCTTTACACAGGGTTCCTATTGCTGTGATAAACACCATGATCTAAACCAAGTTGGGGAAGTAAGAGTTTATTTGGTTAAACTTCCACATCACAGCCTATCATCAAAGGAACTTGAGGCAGGAACTGAAGAAGCCACAGGGAATGGCTTTCTAACTTGTTCACTCAGCTTGCTTTGTTATATACCCCAGGACCACCTGCCTAGGGGTGACCCTGGCCCACAATGAGCTTGGACCTTCCACATTGACTGAGGTCTCCCCTGGATGCCAGGCAGATGCCTGCTTCTGGTGGGAGAAGTGGTGAAGGTTTGTGGCACGCAGGCTGTTGCAGGTTCCTCTGATCTATGACTCCTTCTTGATTCATCAGGAAACTCCTTAGAGCACCTACCACAGAATGGGGTTGTGAAGGGGGATTTCCAGCTGCATAGTTTGCCATTGTAACTACTTCTTTTGTAACACTGGCAATTCTGACTTAGAGACTTCTGTAAGGCCGTGTTTTGATGTCACTAGGGTCTTCCTTGGTCAAGAGAGACTGGCAAAAGTTTCATTTTTAGGGGCTTCTGATAAAATGTAAAAATAGGATTAAGGCCTCAGTGATATATTTTAAGTGTTTAAAAGTGAAAATTAAACGGTAATGAGTTTTTCCTTAGGTTTAGTTTTTGATTTGCTTTGTTTTTTGATAATATTTGTATTACTCTTTGGTAATTTCATACATGTATACAATGTATCTGGATCATAACTACCCCTTCCTATTTGCTGAAGATACTCCCCCAATACATCACCCTCCCATCTTCCTGCCTTTTTTTTAACTTACTGAGTCCGGTTAGCACTGCTGGGGGAAACATTGACTAGGCTTGTTGGCTTGATTATCTTGGATCATGTACAGGTGACCATAGCTTCAGTGAGTTTATGAATGAATGAGTATATCATGACCAGAAGACAGCATCTCACAGCACCCCTCCCCAACCCCCAGATCCATCATCTTTTTCTCCTCTACTCCACGGTGTTCTCTAGGCTATGTTGGAGTTGATACAGATGTCCTGTTTAGGGTTGGACAATGAGCTTTTCTCTTTTGATCTTCTGAAATCAGATATGTGATCATATTTGATGTCAATAATAAATCTAAACCCAACTTAGATGCTTAAAGGATGCACCCTTGGCTCTCATTCCGTGTAATGCACAGCCCCCTGCCCCACTCCTAGTTACCAGATGTTTCATAATTTGTAATGCAAAGGGTCAAACTCAAGGACTTACGCATGTGAAGGAAGAATTATCTCACTGAGATAGAGCTCCAACTCTATTTTTGGATTTTAAAAAACAAAAATACAATCTTGTACTACTTTTACAGTAAGAAAAGGATAGTCTTTTAAAATATTTTATTTAAATATTGTGTGTGTACATGTCCTGTGTGTTAGAGTGTATAAAAAGAGGCCAGAAGAGGCTATCAGATCCCCTGGAGCTAGAGGTACAGGTGGCTGTGAATTGTTCAGTGGGGGTACTGGGAATCAAACTTGGTTTCTGTGGAAGAGGAGCAAGTGCTCTTACCTACTGGGTCATCTCTCCAGCTCCAAAAGATAGTCTTAAGGTCATTTGTAATGAGCTTATCCCCTAAATGAATATCTAATCTATCCTCCAAAACATTAAGATAAAGGATGGTATTTAAATATCTCTGTTATTGAGTCGACAGAAGGAAAGGCTGGGATGGTCATAGAAGATTTGTTATGTTGGTCTGGAGTTGAAAATAACGTCTCCACCCACAAAATCTTCAACCCAAAATTTGTCCTGTCTACAAGAAGTACAGGGACAAAGATGGAGCAGAGACTGAAGGAAGAGCCAACCAACTTGGGAACCATCCCATGGGCAAGAACCAATCCCTAACACTATAAATGATACTGTTATGCTTGCAGACAGGAGCCTACCATAACTGTCCTCTGAGGCTTCACCCTACAACGGACTGAAACAGATACAGAGACCCACAGGGAAACATTAGAGAGCTCAGGGAGTCTTGTGGACAAGTGAAGAAAGGGTTGAGCGACCCAGAGGGGATAGGGACTCCACAAGAAGACCAACGAAAGTCAACTAACCTGGACTCTTGGGGGGGCTCCCAGAAACTGAACCACCAATGAAAGAGCATGCACGGGCTGGATCTAGGCCTCCAGCACATATGTAGCAGATGTGCAGCTTGGTCTTCATGCAGATTCCCCAACAACTGGAGCGGTGGCTGTCCCTGACTCTATTGTCTTCGTGTGGATCCTGTTCCCCTAACTGGGCTGCCTTATCTGGCCTCAGTGGAAGAGGATGTACCCAGCCCTGCAGTGACTTGATGTTCCTAGATCAGAAGAGAAGGGAAGAGGGGATAGGAAGAGGGGTTATGGGGGGGGTTATAGGGGCTGGATTCAGGATATAAGGTGAATCAATAAGTAAATTAATGAGGAAAAAAAGAAAAGAACGAGTCTCCTTGTGAGCAAAACGCCCCCTCTCCCTGCCTCCGCTATATTTTTATCCTTTAGTTTTGTTGTCCAGGCCAGCCTTGAACTCACTAAGTAGCCAAAATAAATTTAAACCTCTGATCTTCCTACCTCCTGCCTTGTGTGAAGACTATAGGGGTATGCTATCATGTCTGCTTGTCCTTGATATACTTAATTTTAAGGGACGTGAGACCCAGGTCTTTTCTTGGTGCTCAGCAGGTCTTTTCCTGGTAAGGAAATGGTAAATGTCCTATGGTCATTCATAGTTTGTTCACCAGTGGATCCCAACCCTGAATCCAGTCCTCCACTTTAGCTTTGAGATTGTGCTTTCTACAAGACTTTATACATAAAAATTTATACATGTTGAGACCTGAAATGTGAGTGATTTTATAGGAAGCCAAAATGTAAATGTACCTGTGACAAATGGGATTTGTTAAAAGTCACAACATACTTCAATATACAAAACAGTCTTGTGAAAATGACCACAGCAGAAGCTGGAGTGATGGATGTCTATGTTTAGCTCTCCATGGGCGGTGGGACTTGGGAGAGTGGAGCCTAAAAACGAGGTGACAGTGTATACTCTGAGGGTTAAGAGGAGTCACATGAGTAAAGTGTGCAACCACAAGGGCAAGCAGCACGTGAAGGGCAAGCAGCACGTGAAGGGCAAGCTGCACATGTCTAAAACATGGGTTTCCACAGGGCAAATAACAATAGCCAATTGTAATAAATAATCTAAAGGGAACTCATTCCTCTCCAGTACACACTGGAGGGGCAGGGAAGCATAACCCAGAACAGTACTGTGCTTTAGAAGGAACTGAGAGCACAAGGTCATGGTGTCTTAGAGTTTTCTCACAAGCACTCAGAAATCTCACACAACTCCACTCTTGAAACGTATTCCAGTATCTCTGCAGTTCTTTCAAACGACCACATTTGGTTTACAGCATCAATGTTGGGCAGTTTTAAAATGCCTGTAACTCCAGCTCCAAGAGAGGTCACGCTCCTCCGTGGGCACACATACCTGTCTGGCACATATATGCACACAAATAAAACTTTTTAAAACAAATCTTCTTTTTAAATGACCAGAACTAAAAAGAGGCTTGACTATCCAGAGTAGATGAGCAGGAAAGTGAGGCTCTCGAGTCAGGAGGGGTGACAGGCATCAAAGCAGACCCGCCGCTCACTCGCGCAGACCTTGAAATGTGGTGTTGTTTTTAACTTTGTACTGACTTTTTGTGAGTTTCACATCACGCATCCCAGTCCCGTTCATCTCCCCATTCCCTTGTATCCATTTGCCCTTGCAGCCTCCTCATCCCAAATAAAACACACATACAAAAGAAAAAAGGCATAAAAAATCATCTCATTGCGGAAGCTGTAGTGTGTCACAGCGTGTCCCACAGTGTGTCCCTCTGTCCACACATCATCACTTGCAAATGTTCATTGCAATGAGTCATTGGTCTAGTTTGAGGTCTCTGGCTTTTGTGACATCATCAACATTGGACCCTCATCAGGACTCCTCCTGGTTATCCTGTTGTTGCCCTGTGTATGGAGATCCTGCAGCTTTGAATCAGCAAGACTGGTCCTTTCACACATCTCAACCATTTGCAGACGATACAGATGTTGGGATGGCCCAGTTCAGAGCTCTGGAACTGGGCCTGGGTGGTAGCTGAGTTGGTCAGCTCACCCAGCTCTCCCTTATCCCCACCACCAGAACTAGCTCACCAGCACTGTTCCAGTTAGGCCACCCAGTGCTGACATCAGCAAGAGACATGATCAGTGCTCCTGCTCTCAAGGCCAGCTCACCAGCACCTCCAGAGCCAGCTCCACCGTGCTGCCCAATGCCGGACCCACTCTCCCAAGTGCTGCAGACTGTGAGGAGCTGGAACAGTCCTCCTGCTCTCACACCCTCTGGCTGGCTCACTCATGCCTTCTCCATCAGGGCCAGCTCCACTGTGTTGTCCAGGTGAGAAGCAGGCTCCACTATTCTAGAGTGCTGAATCTAGCGATGGACAGGTCACCCACTCTCATGACTACAGGGCCAGTTCTCCCATCTGCTGTAGACGGTGAGGAGCGCAGGCGGGGCACATCACCCCCAGCCCCACACCTCAGAACAGATGAGTGGCAGGATCAGCTCTCTCACATTCATGCCCTCAGGGCTTGCTCAAGACCCTCCCCTTCCCACCATGGCCAGCTCCACTGTGGACCTGGGTGATACACAGGTCCTGCTCCTCTTGAATGGGGCTGCTGATGAACTTTCCAGAGCACTGCAACCAGTAAGTGGCGGAACCAGTTATGCACAACTCCTAGACATCCACTAGTCCACCGGTGGCTGCCCTGACCAGGGGCATCCCCATGATCTCTAGTGGTGATATGAGCCACGGACATCGACACTGACCCATGCTGCTGTATAGCCATGCACTCACATGTAGCTCTCAGAGGCAGCTCGCGCCATGGCCCCAGGTTGCGGGGACTGAACAATTACAACAAGCTACCCTCTCCACCCTGAGTCTCCAGTTCCATCTCTTCATAATGCTCAAGCTGCTCCACTTCCCTTTCTCTCCCATCTGACCAGCATACTTGCACATTGTGGTGACTCCCATTGCAGGCTGGCCATAGAGCTGGCGGGCCCCTGGGTGACTTCCTCCATCTACTACGTGGCTAGGCAGCAAGTGAGTTCCTGGAGTTCCGCCCCGGCCAGGTTCAGGACCGGAAGGATGTGTGAAACCCGGGAAAGAAGATTTGTACTAAGAAGTGCTGTTCACACACTCTGGCACCAGACAGCTCAGGCCACCTTTATCTGTGTTCACAACTGAAGAGGCTTTACATTCATTTTCTCACATACAGTCTTGTTTAAGAACTTCCCTGTGGTGTGAAGTATTTTACGTGCCTGGTCTTTTAAACGACCCTATGCTCTACAGTGTCAGTTGGCTCTTGGACTTCTGGGAACAGGAAAGGGTATAAAAAGCCAGCAGAGGAGAGAGTAGCAGGACTGGGGAGTAGGGTCCAGGAAACAGAATAATAGAATCCGAGAAAACAGTTGATGCAGGAAGAAAGATTTGGGTGTGGCTGGAGAAGAGAAGACACTGAGCACTGTGAAAATGAGAGACAGTTGAAAGCAAACTGGGCTGGCCGACTGAGAAGACAGCTGGTGCCAGTTGAGTCAGGAGAAGCTGAACCGAGCCAGAGGAGATATTAAGAGAGAGAGAAAAGGAGAACTCATGGTGTAGCCAAAAGGAAGAAAGAGAAACCATAAGGCTACACACACAAAGCTACACTTCCTACATTCAACAACAGTGTGCACACTGTACTTTCCGCCTTTCTTCTTCAATCTCCACAGCTTCCTGCTAACCCACGAACTGTACCAAGAAAGAGGAAGCATAGCTTCAGTAAGCAGTAAACATCTAACCCAGCCCACCGGTACACAACCGAGTGATCCTGGTCCACAGCAATTGTACTTATAGTATAGACAGGTGATAGGCTACATGCCCAGAAAATTCTCATTTAATTATCGACACCTACCTAGCACCTCCCCACATCCTAATCAGGAGACCTAATTCCTCTAATCCCCAGTGCTCTTGGCCAATTAGTCATCTGCGTCAGTTCCTCGTCCTTGTTGGCTCACCTAGGAATGTTCCTATTAAGTCTTGGAACCAATGATCCAGTAAGACCTCCCTAACCCTTTGATAATCATCTAGCTGCTGTTCGGAGGGGAGGAAGCAAGTGGTTGTCAGAACCAAGTTCCCATCATGAGAGAACATCTGGATGTTAGCTGATGTTGATAAGTTATTCTGTACCAATGAAATGAGTCAACTCAAGCCAAATTAAAGTATAAAAGTAGGTTTACTGGGGGCACCAGTTTACTGACCACACAGGAGGGGGTCAGAGAAGTCACCATGGGGAGGGAGACAGAGGGGAAGGGCAAGAGAAAGAGTGTGAGCCTACAGGAAGAGAGAAAATGGAGGGAGAGAGAGAGAGAGAGAACAAAATGAAGAATGAAGTCTGGATTCTATAAGGAAGAGCTTCTAGGGGAGGGGAAGCCAGGCCCTGGGCCAGAAAGTTCAGGGCAGAGGGAAGGGTATACCAGCCATGACCTGTTAACAGGTAGGTACTAAGGAATGCTGGGAGAACCTGGAGGCCAGATCCACTTTGGTATGTTAAATATGCACCTCAGCAGATAGTTCTGGGTCTGAAACCCAACAGGTGTACCCAGACAAGGCCCTCCTGTTGACTCAACCACAACACCTTTACTCACAAACATAGGAGCTAATGATCTGTTCCATTCCCACAACCCTCAGAGACAAAAAAGAATGGATCATGCCTGAGCTTTCTTTCCTGATTCTGAGAAAATATCTGTCACAAAGTGAAAGTAAAAATTTTCTAGCAAATTTTTACTAATTTTTTTTTAAAAAATTTTTAGCAAAGCCAAAAATGGAAAGGCAAGGCAAAAGTGAACCAAGTATTCCCTCAGTAAAGGACAGGAGATGCTGCAGGAATATCCCCCACAGGTCCTTGTCATGTGCCCAACTCCTTAGGCCTTGCCATAAGGAAAGAAGTCAGAATTGCACTCATGCTCCTTTCCAGCAGAGGCTTGGCCACCACCAGTGGGTATTTATGGCCCTCCTGTGCTGTGCACTCAAGGACAGGTCTGTGGGTTGCATGATCCACAGGTTCTGTCTTCATCTTCCTCTTCCAACACTGCCCTGCATGGATTTGATTTGATTTTTATGCATCGTAGGCATAAGACAGCTTTGTCCACCAAGCCAGGCATCAAGCTAGGATGAACAAAGGACTGCCATCTGCTCTGCCCCTGACTGGTGTAAGAACACCACCAACAAGGAGTCTCTTTGCCCATTGCCAGGGTGATGGAATGTGTTATTTTATACATATGCATTTCCTTAATCACCACCTGACTCTGTTAGGAAGACACTTTTTCTTTTTCTTTTCTTCCCATTCCTTTCTTTCTGTCTTTTTCTTTCTTCTTTATTTACTTTATTTATTTATTTATTTATTTATTTATTTATTTATTGTTGCAAGGATCAAACAAGAAGCCATACAGTACTACTAAACACTCTACCACTGAACTACATCCTTAGGTTTTGGTGGCTTTTGTTTTGGGACTTATGTATTGGCTGTGTGTGCGTGTGTGTACACTCGAACATTTATGTGTATGCGCATGTGCACGCACGTGCGCATGTTTTGCTTTCTCTTTCGAAATAAAGGCTCATGTATCCCAGACTGCCTCAAACTTAAGTAGCTAAGAATGACCTGAACTTTCTAATCCTACTGCTTTCAGCTCCCACATGTTGTAATTATAGGTATGATTATAGGCCCTTGTTTACCTTGATTTTCATAGATGAGGAAATCTTTGCTTAGAAAATGACAGATCTGTTTGTGGGACCACAGTTTGTTCAATTCTAGCACTGGAAATTCCCAAATAAGGTGTTCTTTTTTTGTTGTTTTGTTTTGTTTTGTTTTGTTTTTTTGGGGGGGGCGGGTGAGACAGGGTTTCTCTGTATAGCCCTGGCTGTCCTGGAACTCACTCTGTAGACCAGGCTGGCCTCGAACTCAGAAATCCTCCTGCCTCTGCCTCCCAAGTGCTGGGATTAAAGGCGTGCACCACCACTGCCCGGCAAAGATTTATTTACTTTACTTTATGAAAGTACTTTATGTGAGTACACAGTTGCTGTGATCAGACATACCAGAAGAGGGCGTCAGATCCCATTACGGATGGTTGTGAGCCACCATGTGGTTGCTGGGAATTGAACTCAGGACCTCTGGAAGAGCAATCAATGCTCTTAACCACTGAGCCATCTCTCCAGCCCCCCAAATAAGGTATTATTAGAAGTGCTTCCATTCTGGGAAATCTGAGAACAGCTGATCGTCTTCTTTAGAAGAGTTATTTGACATGTTGAAATCTTAGCAAGAAGGGACCTCTTGAGTCCGTACATTTAAGTCATAGTTTCTGAGCACCCAGAGGACCCGAGTACCGTTCTAGGTACTATAGGTACCAAGATAAATCAAGTAGAGCTCCTCACAGAGTTTGCATTGTTATGGGAAAGTGTGGACAGACAATAAACAGAAATACTTGCATAGCCATGATAAGGAAATTCATCACAACAGAATAGAAGGTGGCTGTGGGACAGAGGGCTGTCTTGGTATTCTGGACAAGTGTTCTCCAAACACTGAGCTATATCCCCAGCCCCTGTATTTTAAAGGTACGATAGAAAGCCTCTGTTCTTCAACAGAGATCCATAGTAATTAAAGTGAAGAGGAGGGTGAGACAGTTTTACCTACTTTCAGTGAGTGCAAAGAGCTTGGGAGGGAGGGACAGCCTGGGTTAGGTAGTAAGTTCCAGGGCAACTTCAGAAGCATTGTGATACCGTATTTCCAAAACCAAAACAGAAATCTGGCACCAGATCAAATACAGCTTCCAGATCAATGTAAGAATTTCATTATCCCCTGAGATGAGGTGCTATTGGAGAGTTTGGTCAGTGACATGAGCTGACTTTGTTTTGCTGCTTTTGTCTTTGATATTGTTATGGGGAACCCACCATAGATGACCATTCAGACACAGTTTATAGCCAATTGAAAGTCTTTATTACAGATGGAACTATACCCATGTAGCTCCCAGATGTCCAGATTTTTTGAAAGCAGAAACCATGTTCTAGCATCTCACTTGACAGTTTTGTGGGTGGTGGGTGTCCTAGTAAGCAAGTACTTTGGCAGAAGCTAAGGTAAATGGTTAGCTGGAGAGAGAGGTTTGAGCAAGCAGGCAATTTAAGAGAAGCTAACGTAAGTTAGCTAAGACATCCTGGCATTGGGTTCCTTGAATAGAGTTGGGTGATTTTCCATGGGATTCTCCATCAGGGAGATCAAACCTGAAGTGGCCTCAGCAAGAATCCAAGCTGGAGGAATCTCTGCACTGTCTTACCTTGTCACAACATAGAAGCTCATACAGCCCGAGGTGGTCTCTAACTTTCCATGTAGCTCAAGTTGGCTTTGAATGCATGCTCCTTTTGTAACTAGCCTGGTAGAAATGAAAATATTCTAAAGAAATGCTTGAGTCTCTCAACCAGACTATTGAAACAATAGACCCCAAAGAGATGGGAATTTCCCTCGGAATCTCATGCAGGGAGGAGGGAAAGTTGTCAGCCAGAGTACTGGAAAGAGATTTCCTACAGCTCTAACATGTATGTGGTCAGATCACCCATACAGGATAAGACTGAAGCCCAGATAATGGTCAGCGGTGGGTGGGACCACACATGACAGGAGCTGCTTAGAGGAGCACATCTCGAGCCCTTTATTTAAACTATCACCTCTGTCAGCACCAGAAAATGGACTGAAAGGTGTCACTGGATTTTTTTCTGTTCTTCTCATTGCCACCACACTGAATAAATCTTTTTCTGCTTTTTACTATTGATTTGGCTGTTTTAGTAGGTTTAAGACTAGGTAGCTGAACTCGGCTTCTTGGGGACATAGACTGTGACCCCTCCCAAGTTTAGTGGCACTTTAGCCTCCATTTCTCAAGTGCTAGAATAACAGGTATATGCCAGTGTGGTGAGGTATCCATAAGAGAAGACTGCTTAGACATGGATTTAAGGCAATAGAAAGTCTTTATTGGCCAGCCGGTGACCTCACAGCATGTTTGAGATCCCAGTGAAGCCCCAAGCCTTTCTCAGCATGAGCTTTTAAACACAAAAACCATATCAGGTGTTGACATACTTTATTTAACAAGAATAGTTAGCCAGAAACAGAACTACGGAAGACAAAAGACAAGGTTAGTACATTTAGAGACTTTCCCAGAACTATGGGCAAAAACACACAGGACCCCCTGCCCCACAAAACTCTTAAGTTTCTGGGGCTAGAAAGATGGCTCAATGCATACAAGCACTTGTTGCTCTTGAAAAAGACCCAGATTCAGCTCTGAGTACTTAAATGGTGGTTACAGTATTGGTAACTCCAGTTCTAGGGGATAAGCACCCTTTTCTGATCTCCTTGGGCACCGGGCACAAATGTGGTGCACACACACACAATATATAAAAAAGAAAAGGTCACACACGGCTTCTGTATGAAGAAGAGACAGAAGAGGAGGAATTTAATAAAATTTGTTCACTTAGGAGTGATTGACTCTTCCATCCAGGACTGTAGAATATTTCTTTAATGAATTGCTGTGGTTCTGAGATTAGGCAGAGAGCTCAGCAGAGGCTGTTCACTTCGAAGTGGTCCAATTCCTCTCAGATTCTCTCCATTTCCCTAGCAACCTGATTTTTTCTCCCTCTCTTTAAAAAACAAAAGCAAATATCACCAACAAAACCCCCAGGAAACACATATACAAAACCCCACAAAATGAAAATAAAAACCAAAGAGGGGGACATTTTTTAATCAAACCTTAACAGTATATATATATTTACTTTATACAAAATATGACATTTAAGAGACAAGGAGAAAAGGAAGGTCATTTTGTAAATGTTGTTGGGACTATTAGCAATCTATTTAGAAACAGGCACTTCTGTCTCACACCATGTCTTAAGGTTTTATTGCTGTGACAAGTCACAACAACCACAGCAATTCTTATAAAGGAGAACATTTTATTGGAGCTGGTTTACAGTAGAGCCACTATCACCATGGTGGGAAGAATGGCAACACACAGACAGACATGCTGTGGAGAGGTAGCTGAGAATACTGCATCTGGATTGGTAGGCACCAAAAAGAGAGAGTAACGCTGGGCCTGGCTTAAGTGTTTGAAACCTGAATGCCCACCCCAGTGACGCAAGTCCTCTCAAAGCCACAAGTACTTCAACAAGGTCACACCTCCTAACATTGCCACTATGGGGCCTATTTTCATTTAAACCATCACACACCCTGTACACAGATAGATGAATAGATAAGTTCAGGAAGAGTCCGACTAAAGCAAGGTTATCAAGAGATAAGGGATACTACCCACTTCATATTTACATACATGTAAGGTTGCATACACGGGGGGGGGGGGCACATTTACATGGGGCTGGAGTGGGGGAGTAGGAGAGAAGGAAATAAAGATAACAAAAAGTCTCTATGCTGAGTCCTGCATTGCCCCAGGGATTGAGATGACTGAGTCTGTGATAGAATGAAGAAAAGACAAATGCACAGACACACAGAAAAGCCAGGCTTAGGTGGACTGAGCTCTCTGACAGAGAAGCTCAGAATACTCATTAAATACATCTGAAGAGTGCGGTGGTGGAGTCATTGCAAAGGGCTAAACAAGGAAGCTGGATTGTTACAGAGAGATAAAGATAACAGCTGAACGAGGAGGCAGATTTGGGTAATCTTGGTAGGAACAGGTTCTGTAGGAGAGCTGACTTCAGGGGGGCGAGGTAAAGGGAGTCATGGTAGACATTTTCTGCATACACTGTCAACATTCACACTTGGACCTGAGGAAGGCTTTGCCACTCCCATGAGTCTAAGGCAAGGGATCCTTGACAAGGCCTTGATCAAGTCAAACAATATACACTCACTGAGGGCTTTCTTCACTCCCTACAAATAGGCCAGTAGGTTCTCTTGGCCTTAGCACAATGATTCTTTTTGAAACTCCTGTGCCATGAGAACAAAGTGGAGAAAGAAGTGATTGTGCAGGCTGAAGCAAAAGAGAAGACAGCAGGTCATCCAGGGGAGCTAGAGCAGCAGAGATACGGAGTGCTCGGTGCTGAAAGAGGAAAAAGCAAGGAATTCTGGGACGGTAGAATTGGCAGGAAGCGTCCTGAATGCTGCCTTTGACAGTTTGTCTCTGGATCTGCAATGTCCACCATTGTCTGATGACTACCGCCACCTCTGGGAGGTCTGCTGTGCTGACAACCCAAGCAGTACTACTGCATCCTGGTGTAGTT